GCATGCCTAGAGATAGCTTAGCTGGAGGGCGTTCAAGGTGGACAAAATAAGGTCCCCATTACACACCAAGTCATAGGTCCGGTACCCTGTACAATTCTTATTTCCACATAGCTACTTACAATTGTGGGATTAGTATAAGTATGGTCTATTCATGGTTTGATGATAGTTTGAGCATGTTCCATTTGTTATTTTGTTGCAGGATTGAAGACAATCATTGTTCTCATTGTTGGGAGTCTGATGGACAATTAGCAAGGTAACTATAATGCCAGGTCACTAATAAAAATGCTAAAATCAGATATCCAACTAATAATACTAATATGGTATGATACCAGGCCAGGGATATCTTAGTGAATTGAAATTATGTAATTTTCTGTTTCCAGATGCTCACTTTGTATGATTTAGCGAATTATCCATACAATTGCAAAATTACATTGTTTTGCTCCGCAGCTACCTCACCAATGAATATTGTAGGATGGTCATGTCAGATAGATGCGTCCTCATGACACCTTTTTTATGTTCCAGTTCGCATTGTCGGTTATCCAATTTCCAATGGCTTGATGTCCTGTCCGTTCTACATTGCAGTTTTGCATCCACGGTTCTCCAACTTATATAGGTTCAGCAGGATGAAGCCATGATACAAACTACATGTGCCGCCGCGAGGCTCTAGGTAAATGGTTTTATGTTTGTCAGTTTGGGGGTGTACTTATCACCTCTTGTGTTTTTCCTGCCTAGACATATAAATCTTGCACTATCATGGTTAGAACTCTACATCCATTGATCCTGTGAAGGCCAGCTAACTATTTTGTGTGTTGTTGCAAATATTTTTTGTTTTCATAGACTGATTCCTACTTTTCGTTGACTCCAGACATTTTATATAACTGTGTGTATATTGCTAGGATTTTGGAAAAGCTTGAGCTACCTAACTAATTCTTGAATGGAAAACTATTTCAAATATATACTAATTTATTTATCTCTTTCTGTGTAATTCTAAGACAGTGAAACATAATGATAGTAATCTAGATATGTTTGGATCATAGTACGAATGGATGGCCATGGCCTGCTCCTAATCCTAAATTAGTCTTGGAAGTTTTTGTCTATTTTTTCCAAATGGCAAAATATTCTGTTTATGCAGCTGTCAGCTCATCACCATTTCGGTTCAACAATCCATCAGAACACAAATGGACGGATTTTGGTTCAACAATTCATCAGAACACAAATGGATGGCCATGACTTGCTCTCAATCATGAATTGATATTCTGCTTTAGTGCAGCTAGTTAACACCAAGAGTGGGAAAAAACGTTGTGATCTTGATAGTTTTTTTGCCCTGTTTCTGCTTTTTTTTTTTCTAATGGGCAAAACTCTGTTTTCTGCAGCTGTCAACATGGTCGCCATTTAGGTTCAGCAATCCATTCCTTATACTGCACTGTTACACAGTCTTGTTCATATGTCTACTCTACTGTACAGAGCTCCATCTACACAGCTTTTCCCGAGTGTAAACGAAATGTCGAGCTGTATATTCTACAGTGTAAAAGAAATGTAAAGAAGTTGGCTATCATAGCATCTTTGTCCCACTTAGCCAATATTTCTTACACTAAACAGGTTTGAAGTGCAGATGTTTGACTATGTTTCCCTCTCCGCTATAATCCAATCGTGTTGTGTTTGTGGTTTCTGTTATTGTCACACATGAAAAGGGCTATATATCTTAGAAGGGACTTTTGGCTGCTCTAAAGGGAGCTTACCCTTAACTTATCTTGGCTTGCCTCTTGGCATAACAAGACCAAGAACCCAGGATTTCCTACCTCTAGTAAACAAGTGTGAAAGGAGATTGGCAGGGATCTCCTCCTTTCTGAATCAAGCAGGAAGACTGCAGTTGACTAATGTTGTGTTCACCTCCTGCCAACCTTCTTCATGTGCTCTCTGGCTCTGCCCAACGCTGTGATCAAACAAATAGACAAGTATAGAAACATTGCTTATAGAGGGGGTCAGACATAAATGCAAGAAAACCCCCAAAGGTAGCTTGGAAGATGGTCTGTGTGATAAAAGAGGAAGGAGGACTGGGAGTAATTGACATTGAAAAACAAAACAACGCTCTCCTCATCAAGAATCTTCATAAATTCTTCAACAGACTTGATTTGCCTTGGGTACACCTGATCTGGGAAAAACATTACAGAAATGGACGACTTCCAACCACATAAGAAAAGGATCTTTTTGGTGGAGAGACATTCTGAAACTCCTACCTGATTTCAAAGCCATAGCTTGGCCACATGTAGAAAATGGAGAAACCTCACTGTTTTGGCATGACAGTTGGAACAACCACCCTCTGGCTCTTTCAGCTCCTGAACTTTTTTTCTTTGCAAAGAACAAGCTGATTTCAGGGCCTTCAACCAAACTGAGTTTGTAGATCTCTTTCATTTGCCTTTATCCCAACCTGCATTTGTCCAAATGCAAAACATCCAGCAGCTTCTAGAATCCTTGCCCCTTACTGAGGAAGAAGACAAATGGGTGTATTCTTGGGGCTCCAACATCTTTGCCTCGACCAAAGTTTACAAAATCTTGATTGGGCATTAAGAGATCCACCCTATCTTCAAATGGCTTTGGAAAAGTCAGTTCCAATCTAAGCACAAGGCTTTCTTTTGGCTGTTGATCAAGGACAGGCTCAGTACCAGAAATATTTTGAGAAGGAGGAACATGCATTTGGATTCTCATAATTGTGTCCTATGCAACCTTCTGATTGAGGAAACAGTGCATCACCTCTTCATTGATTGTCCATTTGCAAGAATGTGCTAGGATATGCTAAACATTGACATCCCACCTAATTGTAGCTTCCCATAACTGACCTCCTAGATGAAGACACAGCTAAGCACCCTTTTTTCATGGAAGCCATTATTCTAAGGCCCTGTTTGGTTGGGCTTTTGACTATGACTTTTGCCCCCAAAAGCCAAAAGGTCAACCAAAGGGCTCAAAAGCACCAGCTGTTTTGGGGCAAAAGCTGCTTTTGCTCTAGTACAAAAAATGAAAGCGAAATTTTGCTTTCGGCTGCTTTGGGTCCAAAATTACCCACACCTTACATGGTTATTGGTTATGAAACATACCCCTTCGTTCTTTTGTTTCTTCGAGTGATGAGTTTTTCTCCCGGCGCCGTCTTTCTCGTGATCCGACCCGACGGACCACGCGGGCTTGGCTCAATGACGGCCCCGCAGCGTTGCCCGATGACTGTGACGGGCGGCGCCCTAGCCCCCGGCGGCTAGCTCAGTGGGAGTTGCGCCCCAGGCCGGTGACCCCCTCCGCTTCCTCTTCCTCTCGAGCAGGCGACGGAGGAGCAGCCATCGATGACCATGGATGCGCTGGCCTTGGTGCCCCGAACCTCCGCTCAGATGCCCCCATGCGTGTCTGGCCAGCAATGGCCCACCAGTGTGGCGAGTCCGCCCCTCTAGCGCTGGCCATCTCGGCATTTGGCTTGAGTCCGGCCCGGCGTGGGCTCATGACCCCTGCTCCTGTATAGGGCGTGGCCATGCTCCGACGAACGAAGGATCTCCGGCCCGGGCTCTGCCTCCCTCCCAGCCGGCGGTAGCGGCCTGCCCCAGATTAGGCGAGCCTGCCTTCCTCCGTACGGCGCCTCCTCCCTCCCTCTCTATAGCAGCTCCCTCCCTCTCTTCCTTGGGCCGGCGGTGCTGCCTCCCTCCTAGCTGCCGGACGCGGCCAGCTCCGGCGAGCTCGAGCATTCCCTGGTGGCGAGAGGAAGAAGAAGGTCCAATGTGTGCATGACATGTGGGGCCCGCTTGTAAGTGAGACCAGCTTTTCCAAAAGCCACAGCCCACAGCTACTTTTTCAAAAGCCACAGCTCAACCAAACGGGGCCTAATGTGCTGGACTATTTGGACAGCAAGGAATGATCTTATCTTCAAGGGCATCACAATGAACCTGACAGACTGCTGAAGGGTCTTCTTCAAAGAGCTAAGACTCCTTTAGTTCAGAATCAAGACAAGAAAAGAAGATCAATTCTCACCATCGATACAAAATCTGGAGTTAGTAGTTGCCTAAAGTTGATCTTCTTTGTTTCCTAGGCTTCTTGCCTATGTATCCTTGTTGCCTTTGTAATTGCTTTTTGCTACCTTTTATATTTTTAATAAAAAATACTGTAGGGGCTTAGGCCCAACGAGCTGGACGCAAAAAAAAAAAACAGCACATGCAGTCAAACAGCCCACTAAGGGCCTATAAAAAACAGCCCACTAAGGGCCCAACCGAACCCATCCTTCCCTCGTCTCCCAGGCCCAGGCGCCATCCCCCGCATGCCGCAGTCCATCCCTGATCGACTCTGCATTTCTGGAAACCGAAGTTTACAGAAACCGAACCGAACTTCTGGGTTAAAAAACCGATTGGATTGCCCAGTGCTTTGGGCGTCCAGCCTCTCCGTCGCCGTCTTCCTCTCCTCTGCCTGCCTCCAAGCTTCTCGTCTCCCCGTCTCCCAACCCACCGCCCGCCCCACCGGTAACCTGTGCTGCCACTCCATCCCTCCCTCCCTCTGCTCCCGCACGGCTAGATTCCTCCTGCTGCTAGAGATTGACTAGCACTAGGAGCTGGTGGAGCTCTTCTACCAAACAGGCCCTAAGTCGGATCAGACCGCTGGATCCTTTTTGGGTTCTCCTCTCGATTCCGATTCCGATTCCAACCATCGGCTGTGCGCCTGTGCCTGGGCGGGCCAGAGAGGGGAACGGGAGCCGCCACCCGCGTTCTGCCATATCTCCCTCCCGATCCCGAACCGTCCCTTCCGTGCCGGAGCCGAAGCGGAATCTACGGTAGATAGGTAGAATATATATATAGCAGCCGCAGCCGAATAGAGAGGAGAAGATCAGGAGAGCCCAAATCACACACAACCCTAGCATAGCCAGCCTTTATTCGGCGATTCGATTCGATTCGTTTCGATTTCTCTCTCTCTAACATTAATCGCCAGGTCAGGAAGGAAGACGAACAAGATCCAATCCATCGGTGTTGTTGGTGGGCATGGCAATGGCAGGAGCAGCGTTCCTTCGATCTGTCGCTGCCAAGACGGCCCGCGCAACGCCTCGCCTTCCATCTGCACTGGAGGAGCGCCTTCAACACCATGGCCTCCTTCCAACGCGCTCCAATCGCATTTGGCTTTCTAGATTCTCTACATCTACTGGTTCCACGCCGCCAACCAACCTCAGGGTATGCCGCTCCTCTTTGATTTGGTAGCCTTTTAATTTGGTCGACATGTAGGATAGTAGAAGATCACGCATCTTTCTTTCTTTCATTCATTCATACATTTTTTTATTAGATTAGATACAAAAGTAATGTAAAAAACATTTCTTTTTTCTATACAATCTTCTGAAATAAAGATGGTAAGTCTCAGGCACAACTTTTTGCGTAGTACTAACTTCTTATTATTAATTGATGTTTTTTATTATATCAGTTTAAGCATTGATTATATTGTCATTTGACATGCAACCATCTTCCCGTCAGCATATACAAGGATACCAAATTAGATTGTTATAAGGTTATATAAAGCCCGGTCATTTAGGGCTTAGCTGCTGATCAGGGCTGTTTCCTCTACCATGAAGCTTATCCCCATTGTCTCACTCTCACCCATCTGGCCTCCTGTTGTCATATCTGTCTAGTGTGTATAGAACCTAAATTACTATTGAATTTTCATTGTTGACATATTTGTTATCACATTCATGATCCTAGGTGTGACACTACAGGATCACACTTGATACTTTATCTGTGATTATCATTATTCTTATGACCCTACGTGAAATTAATATGATGGCTGTGTGTCATGCCAGCTCTGCGCGACCATGTGAACCTAGATACATATCACGATCTTGATAACCTTCATGTTACCGGTATTGATGATGCTGTTGGTTCTATTATGTTTCTTTAGGGTCCTCAAACTCATAACAAGGAAGTTCCCAGTGGCAGTGAGTGGGACTGGTATGACTCCCCCGTCCAATTTTGATATATATATATCTATAAAGAATAACTGATAAGTGTTCCTTGTAGAACGGATTGTCACTTTCATTTGTCACTTTCAGGGCAAAAGCTGCATTCAAAGAAGCTGCACCCAACGCAGCTTTCCTCCTGGTGTTCAGTGGCTTCTCTTTTATGTATTTATGGCTCAATCCGGAACAGGACCGTATACAGGCCAATCTGGACGCCATCTCGATAGAAAGGTCGGCCAGGATAGTAGAGATGCAGCAAAAAAAATGAAAGGCTACGTGCGGCCTTGCTTGATTGTAAGCGAAGTCAGATTTAACCTAGAGATTAGTGGGCGGGTCTTCTCAAGGCCAAAGGCCTGATACAAACATCAGCTATTAGTTTGATATATACTCTCCATACAATTTTCTATGATGCCCATACGTATTGAGTTCCAAACTTTATCTATGTTTTGATTAGTGATTAATCAAACAGTGCACATTTTTTGACACAAAAGTTTCGTATCTGAAATGACTTCCCTAGGACCATCATTCTGTAAGGAATAAATATAAAATAAGGTAAATCAGCCTTTGAAATTTGGTGGCACTTACATATTGAAATGGATGCAGCAATAATCTGAGGGAAACTTCTGCTGGATATTAGATGACCTACTATTGTTCAAATGGATATTAGATGACCTACTGTTGTACACGCTGCCATTTTAGAAAGTGCATGGCGTCTATATCATATTTAGTCTTGTCGTGTAAGATGTTAAATTGATCAATTGTGTGGTTCTGGTTCTTAAGTTTACTTGGTTAGAATCACAATTGGTTTCATTTTAGGTATTGTGCATCAGGTACATATGTTGTGTTTCACTTTTCAGCAGTGCAGATTGCTAACTTTTTGTTAAAGCGTGAACGTAAATGAATAAGATTTGGAAGAACTCTTCTTTCATGGATCTCTGAAATATATTTATACAAGTGAATGTTTGTCACAAAGGGACACGACTGTTTCCAAAGGACATGCCATTTGGAGTAAAACTAACTGTCTAATCCTATCCACTAATCTTGTAATTGATGGATGAGATCACTTCGTGAACAGGTGTCTGTTCATGGCGTCGTTGATGAGATCACCGAAGGGGTGTCTGTTGAGAGACACCGTTTCGTAACACTCCCCCTTGATCGAATCTTCCTTGAGATTAATGCAGGTGTAAGTTGAAATTCCTCGAAAAACTCTATGGGAAAAATCTGAGGAATATATGATATGCCATAAAAACTCCTTTAAACCTTATTGGAAAATAAGGAGAAAATAGCATATTTATTTGTGATTTAAGTAAACCACTATGACATTGGTATCCCATTAAAAACCCCAATGAAGAAAAAATATTGGAGATACGATATAAAGATAACTCCTCCAAAAACATTTTCAGAAAAAATATGAGGAGCAATATAAAGTGGTATGTCGCTAAAACTCCTGTAAAAATCCAGTGGGAAAATTAGGAGAAAATATGACGACATATTATTGGTATTGCCTCTTGGATAACTCACATGAAAAACCTTCTCAGGGAAAAACCATGGATGAGTTGTGAGGACAATATATGTCTTTGATATTTCCCACAAAAACCCCGGTGGAGAAAATAGGAAATATGACACATGCATATGTTAATATTACCTCATTAAAAACTTTGACAAGAAACCTTGTAAGTAAAACTTGTGAAAGAAAAGAGTATAATATAATGCTGGTATAGGTCAACATTTAGGAGATGTCTCCCCCTAATTCTGGCAAATCTCGAAGTCGCCGCATACAAATTCCATGTACCAATTTTTTGAAACACAGAAGTTGGTAAGGACTTAGTAAATAGGTCAGCAAGATTATCACATGACTTGATTTGCAAGATGTTTATTTCCCCGCTTTCTTGTAACTTATGGGGATAAAACAGCTTAGGGGCAATGTCTTTAGCGACATTACTCTTTATATAACCTGTTTGCATCTATGTAACATAAGCGAAATTATCTTCATAGATAATTGTAGGTGATTTAATCGAACCAATACCACATACCTATTGTATGTGGTTAATCATTCAGCGAAGTCATACACATTCATGTGATGCCTCGTATAGAGCAATAATTTCAGAATGATTAGTAGAGGTCGTCGTCAGAGTCTGTTTAGAAGACTTCATGAAATAGCTGTACCTCCATGTAAGAATACAAATCCAGTTTGGGATAGGGACCAGATAAGTAACCAGCATTCGTGTATCCAATCATATTGTGATCATGATTTCTCTTAAAGAGTAAACCAAGATACTTTGTGCCACTAAGATATCTGAGGATATGCTTTGCTCCCGTCTAATGACGGTGAGTTGGATTGGCACTATGTCTAACTAGTATGTTCACTGCAAATGCGATATCAGGCCTGGTGCAATTTGCAAGATACATAAGTGCTCCAATGACACTAAGATATGGAACCTCGGTCCTAATATATTTTCTCTAAAATCTCGTGGTCTAAATGGATCTTTCTTTATTTCTAAAGAACGAACAACCATCGGGGTTTTGTTATGATATGATTTATCTATATTGAATTTCTTCAATATTTTCTGGATATAGGCTGATTGATGCACTAAAATCCCTGAAGGACGGTGCTCAAATTGTAAGCCTAGGCAACATTTGGTCTTACCAAAATCCTCCATCTCGAATCCACATGATAGAAATTGTATCTCAAATGATTGCATAATTATTTCTATATCACGATGATATCAAAATAACCAATATACGCAATCATGCTTAATTATACACAATGTATGTTGCGATTTGTATTTGGATTCAGAATATGAAGTTCATTGGGACTTATACGTCCGAATCTATCAAATTCATTTGATCCGCCAATTATTGAATTTGGAAAACTTCATTTTCACACATACCATAGGGTATGCTATGCTGGGTCTCTGCGTGAAACCATATGCTACAAGCTCTTATTGTTCGCCACCTTGCTTCTGAAAAGAAACTCTGTGAGGAAAGATATTACTGTGGTAATACTTCTCATCATTGAACAAGAGCAATCTCCTTAATTGCCACCTTTTAGTTTGACCAAATTTGAGTGTGAAGACACTCTGCCTATGATTTTTGGTCTAGATCTAGTAAGGTAAAAAGGCAATCTTTGAGGAGTATATGCCGCGACAATTTGTAGTCTTTAAATGATTGATTCAGTTCTCGAAATCAATATAGCATGTGAAAATGTTAACCTTTTTGGACTTCGAGTCATTTCCCATATGGAGTCAGGGTGTTCCAATGTCCCAGGATCAGAATTTAGGTGCATCGTTGATCCGGGTGGATTTTGATCCGGGTTTTGGATGCTCATCCATTTTGGGTGTCTACCAACTTGAGGTTGGCTTGGATTTACTTATTTGGAGGATATTGTCCTCGATATCCTTGGACGCTTACTTGGAGCATTATCCTTAAGAGCGGCCGTACTTCTCCCCTCTTCTTTGGAAGTGGGAGTTGAATGGTTTTAATTGGTACCTCCATTCTTTCAGGCGCATTATAAGTAGGATAAGAGGATTTTATGACACCCTTATTATCAGTAAATGTTTCTGGCAGATTCTTTGCAATATGATGCAAATATAAGATATTCTAAACGATTAGGTTTAGAATTTTTGGTACGTGGATGTGAGGATTGCTCTTTTGATTCCTGGCATTCTTAATGTGGTATAAATCTCCCCCTAATGCCTGGAATTATCCTCAAATGTGATCAACATACGGGCAATTTATAAATCCCTTGCAGAGTTAGCTCTTGGGATCCCTAATGTCCATTGGTATGTTGGGGTGGTGATATGGGTATGTGAAAACATACTCGATACGCAGATGGGAAATATTTGGCTGCGGCCAAAGTTTCACGTACATACTGCAACGGAGGGAGTTGTATAAGTGCAGCTTGATGAATTTGAATTAACGATGCGGTGTGTAAGGCCGCATGAAAACGATTTAGTTCTGGTAAATTACAATTATATTTTAATATGTCATGCAATTTAATTCTCAATAAGAGATTCAATAAAACCATTATTGGTATGGACATAAGGTACTTGATATATAGTCCCCAAAAACCAAACTATTCCATGTAAAATGGATTTGATCCCGCATCAAGGATAATTTGCTCTAAATTAAAGATTTTGAGCAATGAGTTTGGTATAGTGATGGTTCTCATGACTAAGAGACACACCTGGGACTATATTATGGATGCATAAATATGCATTATATAATATTTTTATGGTCCATAAAATGGTAAATAGAGTCACATGTATGTTCTTGAATTTCTTCAAGAAATGTAGTGGCTCATATTGATGCTATGACCAATAGAATTGGCAATAATTCTCAAGTTATCTCTATAGTTCAATAACTAAGGCAAATGTGCCAAGTCTTATTGACATCAAGAGAGAGAATTATTGGTACGCAACATTGGATACAGGTTATGTATATGTAGTCAAATCCAACTGAGGATGTTTTGTTTAAGTATTGCCATATCCATTGTTAAGAGAAAAATACTCATCTTAGTTGTCATCTTGGGGTTTTCATATGAAAACCACATTAACGGATATCTCTATAATTTTAATTGGGTACATTATGGAATCAGAATATAAGAATGGATTCATGATTATTATTTGAGTACCAATAGGGAGTATGATAGTAGCACAACTAAAGCCCACTATCATGACATCGCGTCAAGCGATTAACAAAATATTTTCTTGTCTCTATGTAAGAGTTTAGGAATATTTTGTTTCTCTATATATAGAGTTTGTGGTGCAACTATCCACTAGGCAAAATTCCTCTTTGCATTTGGATTGACTCCCGTATAGGTCTATATATAGCATGAAGAATATAATGACATTCTTTGCAGATATATAGATTTCATACAAGTTAATTAATGGAATATCAAATATGATGGCACATTATTGTGATATTCAATTGAAATTGATGACAACATTTTATATTACAACACCAAAATAGGACGTAGAAACTAGATATGTTTGTAAATGAGAGACAAATTTTGGTCCCCAAAATGGATCAAGCGAAGTAAATTCGATGATCGTACTCTCCATGCTCATAAGACCCACTTATTAATTAAGTGTTTGGTTGCTACTTGGTTTCTTCATGAAACTTGTTGTGAACAACTAGCCTTCCTAGTGGTGTCTGGTTGAAGATAGAAGCGTGCTTCATATCTTTATTGTTGAGCCAGATATTTATGTCCAATGGATTTGTAATACCGATCAATTAAATATTTGAAGGCATGACATTTCCAAGTTG